TTGATGTCCAAACAGTGCCCCAAGTCAAAGTAGGGTCTTTACTACCTTTGATCCCTTTGAATGTGCATGGGCCCCTAATTGTTAGCTTATGAGGAATGGTCTATTGTGCTCATACTTGCACATGTGTGGGACATCACTTTTAACATTTCCACAAGGAACAAATTGGGTTATCATCTACATGAAAACGGTCTTGCATTTTTTCATGGCTCACCCTTTGATTGTATGCATCTTTGTATTGTAATCCGGGCAGTGAGCGTACATATTTTTGACTTAATGAATACTAATGAGTTTGAACTTAATTCGGAGAATGCAGACTCTAATCTGTCTAAGTAATCTTGTGGAGATATTTTTCTAAATTCGATTCAAGTACTAAAATCTTTGTTCGGGGAATATTTGTGCTGAAATTTTCTTGACCGGTCCACCCAAAATTTGAATTTAGTACCTTTTTCTCGACCTTAAAATTTTGCTTTTCCTTTTTTTTTTTTACAGCATTTGAATATTATAAAATCGATGCACTCAAATTGATCAAATGCCAAATATCCACTCAAGAGGGTCTTTAATTTGCCTCCTAAACATGATTAGACAAATGTGATATGTGTACCAAAAAAAGTAGCTCATAAAAAGAAAACATTAGCTTTGTCCCAAAAGCCCTAAAATAAAAGAGGGACCAAGGCTTAGATCTGTTTGTGAAGCCAGTTGGCACACGTGTGGTATTAATCATGTTATACACCAAGCCCACCGTTAAGCAATCATTCACCCCATCTTTGGCCAATACTCNCTTTTGGGCATAATTGTCGTAGTTTGGCATATTCTTTTGAATGTAATGGCCATGGTTTGACATATTCTTTTGGATGATGAATGAAATTTTCTATATTTATGGATTTTATTAGTTGCTCTCATGATGTGAATGACTTTGAATAGTAATGCTATCCAAGGAGGATTTTGGAGCGTCACAAGTTTTGGTATCAAGGCCTAGGAATAAGGTCTTACATGGGAGCTGTATGTTATGAATCACCAATAGAGAGGTAGGATTAGGTTAAAGGAAATTGTTGATTTAAATTTTATATAAGCCTTATGCTTTTAGATTAAAGTGATACTTAGGATGTCTTGTACATTAAGAAAACTAAATTGTGAATTGATGTGCAGGATGGACAGCAGACACCGGTGTGGACAGGGACGTGGTAGCCAAGCAAACCCCCCCCCCCCCCCCCCCCCCCCCCCCCCAAAACCCACACAAACAAACCAAACTTTTTTCTAATTTAAATTACATTAAAAAACAACTTTTTTTCTTTTTACGTTTTTTGAAGGTTAAATCAAGTGTACATGGGCTCTTTGTATAAAGATGTTCTTGAGGTGGGTCACCCCGCTCGTGCGATCATGCGAGGTCAGGCCCATCTACTGACAGCCTGGCCCACAAAAAGAGAAGTGAAAAAGGTTGGGGCAGTTGGCCACATCCTCATTCAGTGACACTGCAGCACAGACATTTTGTAGATTTGTGATTAGAAAAATATAAGTTAGGCTAGATTCCAAGAAAGAAGAAAAAAAAGCTCTGCAGAGTCACAGATATTAGAAGAATTCCCATTATTTTTTTATTCAAATATTATTAATATTTATGAGGTGTTTAGTATAGAATATTAACAAAGATCATCTTATTCCCATTATTTTTAAAAAAAATAAATAAATATATGGGTTAGTTATGTTGTACAAATTATTAAAAAAAAAAAAGAAGAAAAACTCAACAACATTTTATATAGTATTTAAACTTCATATTTTGTTTTTTTTTTTTGGGTTTCCAAATTGGTGACCCTATCGGTAGTTGTCTGTTTTCACCTAGTTATTTTGTGAACTTAATTTGGGGTTTGCATGACTAAAATTAATATTGGCCCAACAATAGGCTGGCCGAATGGACATCCAAAGGTGATCTATTTAGATCCCTCCATCGGTAACTCAATCATTTCTCAACCCAAATATAAAGAAGAAGTAAGAGAAAGGGCTCACAGGCAAAAGAAAAGAGGCACTTCCACAATTCATTTATATAAACTCCACACACCTCTCCATTCCTTTCTTAAAACATCCCTCAGTTCATCACAATGGCCGCAGAGAAGGTTGAAACTGTCATAGCTGGTAACTACGTCGAGATGGAACGGGAAGAAACCGATTCCAAGTCTGCTAAGAGTAAATTATCACAATTGTTTTGGCACGGTGGCTCGGTCTATGATGCTTGGTTTNTTTGGTCCAACAATATTATCCACAGGTGGACCTGTATTGGGAATTTGGCCGTTTATATTCAAAATCCACAGATATAAAACAAGATAATAATGTTTACATCTAATAACAGCTTTCTCAAATTTTCTCATTTAAAATTGCTCACAAGTAATAGTAGTATCGACAGGTAGATCTAGTGTTTTAATTTTTGGTCCGTGTGTAGTACAGGGGAGGGACGTAATCACTCGGATGGACCCTCAGGTCTTGGTGATTTAATGATGGATGATTAAAATTGGAAAAAAAAAACACAGGAGAGTCTCCAAATTGCAAGAATCCAAAACTCCAACATTTTGATGCCATTATGACTTGGTATGACATCAGAATCCATTAAGTTACCAGTTTGGTTGCAAAACTGGTATCTCCCATTGAGCTAGAATTAGTATTCATCCACATACAATAAAGACCCATGAAGCTATGATATTACATGACCCACCAGCCCACCCAATTCAACTGTGTGCCCCCAACGTCCCAATCCTAACCAACACCAGTTCTCATCTCTGCAANAAGCTATGATATTACATGACCCACCAGCCCACCCAATTCAACTGTGTGCCCCCAAAGTCCCAATCCTAACCAACACCAGTTCTCATCTCTGCAACCAAAACAGTCTGAAATGATCTAATGATCATATGGGAGCTTCAGAAAATGATTGATGTCCAAACAGTGCCCCAAGTCAAAGTAGGGTCTTTACTACCTTTGATCCCTTTGAATGTGCATGGGCCCCTAATTGTTAGCTTATGAGGAATGGTCTATTGTGCTCATACTTGCACATGTGTGGGACATCACTTTTAACATTTCCACAAGGAACAAATTGGGTTATCATCTACATGAAAACGGTCTTGCATTTTTTCATGGCTCACCCTTTGATTGTATGCATCTTTGTATTGTAATCCGGGCAGTGAGCGTACATATTTTTGACTTAATGAATACTAATGAGTTTGAACTTAATTCGGAGAATGCAGACTCTAATCTGTCTAAGTAATCTTGTGGAGATATTTTTCTAAATTCGATTCAAGTACTAAAATCTTTGTTCGGGGAATATTTGTGCTGAAATTTTCTTGACCGGTCCACCCAAAATTTGAATTTAGTACCTTTTTCTCGACCTTAAAATTTTGCTTTTCCTTTTTTTTTTTTACAGCATTTGAATATTATAAAATCGATGCACTCAAATTGATCAAATGCCAAATATCCACTCAAGAGGGTCTTTAATTTGCCTCCTAAACATGATTAGACAAATGTGATATGTGTACCAAAAAAAGTAGCTCATAAAAAGAAAACATTAGCTTTGTCCCAAAAGCCCTAAAATAAAAGAGGGACCAAGGCTTAGATCTGTTTGTGAAGCCAGTTGGCACACGTGTGGTATTAATCATGTTATACACCAAGCCCACCGTTAAGCAATCATTCACCCCATCTTTGGCCAATACTC